CTTTTTGCCTTGATTTGTTTTCCTCTTGGGGGGGAGGAGACTCACGTCTTGGAGAAAGAGCTCATGCTTGCATGCTTCTTGCTATCTGTTTGACATCTAGAACAGAACCTGGCATACACTAGGCCCAGGTTGTGTGGCAGAAAGAGAAGACTTAATTGGTTGAGGTAATACGCTCTGGAGGCGGTAGGCCAGGTTTGTCCCTGTCCTTGAACAAGGCATCAGCTGTCTTTATGTAACCACTAGACAGGGACAAATTGAGAAAGATAGGTATTGTAGGCAGGCAAGGATATGGGTTCACCCCCATTTACCAGAAATGGCACCAGTAGCCCATAGCATGTCCTCTCCTCAGCTTCCTTGGCCCACAGCTGGGTAAAGTCACCCTATGAGCATGAGGGTCACTCACAGGCTTGCGTCTTCATTATTGATCACAGAATCTTGAACACATTGTGAGCAGTTGGAGATATGAGGGACAAGGACAATGCAGTACTTACCAAGGACATACAGCCCTGTGCCTCTCTCTGACTGAATCTCCTTGTCAGAGTCTAATCTGTGAATCTTCACACAGTAGTAGGTACCAGCATCATCAGTTGTGACATTACTGATGCGGATGGAAAAGTCCAGGTTGTTTCTCTTTGTAGTATCTGTAACATTTGTGACTCTGGGAAACTTCTCTCCTGTGAAAGCATATATTAGTTGCCGACTCTGTCCTGTGCCCCTGATCCACTTAATGGGCCCCAGTGGACGCAGGGAAGTCACAGTGCAGTTCATAGTGACTGACTCTCCAGCATGGACAGAAACTGATTTCTCAGGCTGAATCACCTTCGGGTCCTGTGTAGCTGCTCCTGCAGGAAACATCAGTTAGTGCTCATCATGATTAGAACCCACAACCTACAGGCTCCTCTAGTTTTTCATCAAAAGCTGCTACTTCCTAGACCTCAGCATGCGGTGATCACGGTTCCCCTCACTTGGGCCTCTTAGCAAAGGAATGGAAGAGATGAGGAAATGAGTCACAGACACGCTGAGTCTTTAGCATTAGTTTCGTGAAGCCCCAATTCTGTTTGAGATTCTCATGCCAGTATCAGCTTGGTTTTCATTTTCCTGTACATGGCATGTTTCACTTCTTATATAATAGTATTAGATGTGATTACATGACTCTTTTGAGAACAGTGAGATGTAATCGTTAAGTGTGAGGTATAGTTGGTGAGATGTACATTTGATTACCAGATTCTAAGTCAGGTCTCCAAGTCGGGGGGGGGGTGCCTTACTAGGTGGAGTGATAATGCTGTAGATATTTCCCATGTGTATGCAACAACATACACATTAATAGAGAAATAAAACCCCGGATTAAGTTACCAGTTTGGTGTCACAGACCTTGAAACTGAAGTTATACTAGTTATAATTCACCATGTGGGTGCTCAGACTGAAACCTGGGTCCCATGGAAGAATAGCAAGTGGTCTTAACCCCCAAACCATCTCCCTCTGGCCCCAACATTATATTAACTTCAAGGGTGACATAACAGATTCCTACAAAGGTAATGGTTTGACACAACAGAAAAGTTTTATTTCACTCTTTGGAGGTCAGAAGTTCTAGTTTGGTGTGATATAGCCGCTACCAAGGGGTCACAGTGCCCCACCCTCCACGAGGCCCTGTTTGTTCCCTTGCACATGATGTGGTCACCTGGAAACACCTTCTCTTGTCGCCTGTTTTCTCATCACAGCACCCTATTTACCCAGTTACTCTAAGTCCCATAGCTGACACATCTGTACCTTCTTCCTGGACTTGGTGATCTTATAGGACTGCATTGTACTGCACTGTCCTATACTACTGGACCAAGACTGTGCAACTTTCATTTAAGATATGAAAAGAGCAAAATGAAAGTAAGGAAAAGTTCTAAAGAAAGTGAAGAGTCTGAATAGCAAAATATAACACCAAACTGAGAGAAACTATGAGAAGAAACCAAATGATATTGAAGAGTCAACTCATGAGTCAACATATGAGGGGTATATAATTTATTAGTCCCTTGGGCAGGGTCTACAGAAGATTTAGNAAAGTAAGGAAAAGTTCTAAAGAAAGTGAAGAGTCTGAATAGCAAAATATAACACCAAACTGAGAGAAACTATGAGAAGAAACCAAATGATATTGAAGAGTCAACTCATGAGTCAACATATGAGGGGTATATAATTTATTAGTCCCTTGGGCAGGGTCTACAGAAGATTTAGCAGGTTACAAAAAATATCCAAAATGATGGAAATGTGTACTATAACATTACTTAGGCAGCACTCCAGGGGCAGAGGTACAATAAAGAGAAAAAATTTACGTGTTTGGAGTATAGTGACAAGAACAGTTGGAAAACAACTGTTGTCTAAAACTTTCCTGATTTATTAAAATATAAGAACAATAAATCCAACAACTGACTAATTCAGTGTGAGATAAACTCAGAGACACACACCAGCAGACGCTAGAATCCAACAGACAAAAGCAGAGTAGAAAGAGAATGCTGAGTGCTCCCTAGATGGAGCATGACTCATCTTGTCCTGCTTAATGATAGGATCACAGCTCTTATCAGAAGTGTTAGCATCCAGGAGGCCGTGAGACAGTGTGTGTTCTCACAGTTCTAAAAGAGAAAACACATCCAGAATTTAAATAAAACCCAGGATTCCACACAATGCAAAACTATGGGACCAACACAAGAGAGAAAACAGGCTTTGTAGTTAAAAATCTGAGTTTATTACAATGATTCCTGTTTGGCGATATCAATACCTGTCCTTCAGGAAATGCTAATGGGTTTCCCTTGTGTTGAAATAAAGAATCCCAGAGAGTAAGGCCTAGTTTAGAAGACAATACAACTCTGAGTGTATTCTGAATTTTAAAATTTCATAAAGCATCCCGAGCTCCCAACTTCTACTTAGGCTTTTTGACAATGGTGACTCTAATCTTCCACCTTGTGGTTCTCATTAATAGCCTTAGGGAAGGACATACACCTGAGGCTGCTAGGAAGGGTGAGAGACACTGCTAGGTCTCAAACAAGAATGTCTGATGTGGAAAATCTGCTTCCCTTGATAACTGAAACCAAAAGCATACGGCAACTTTGTGAAAGAGTATGTATGGCTTGATTTTCTAGTAGACTTGCTTAAACACGACATATGAGTATTAGTCATTCTTCTGCAACATTTCTTATTAACAACGATGCTCTAACATACTCAATAGGAACTAAAATGAAATAATGTCTTTGTAACATAAAAAGTAGTTTGATTCTATAAAAGTAAAATGGTAAATATGGGGAGATTTAAAACTCAATGTCATGTGCCCAGGACCCACCTCATCTTTCACAAAGAACTAAAGCAGTAGCCTCCTTGAGGCAACCAACTATGACAGAGAGAGAGAGAGAGAGAGAGAGAGAGAGAGAGAGAGAGAGAGAGGTCATCAAGTGAGTGTTAGGACCTTCTGTTTCTGGGAGGAGAGAACAGAAAACTGAATTAATTATCCTGACATCTGTGAAATCTGCTTTGAAGAGTGGATTTGAGAATCTCATCAAATTGTGTTTGCATGGATTAAGATGATCACAGCTAGTAGAAGCATCCAGTCCTTCCCGGTTTTAGCTGATTTAGGGAGAATTGGAGTCTGCACAGCAGCTTTGCTTGGGAGAAACTCCATCCTTCTTCTCTGTCCCATCTCTAGAGTTCAGGCTGCTGTAACTGTGTACTATCTAAGCAAGGGAAGAGTTTCTGAGTTCAAACAGTTAGGGCTGTGGAAGGTAGATAGTTTCATACCCTCATCCGTGAGTCCACAGAAATCCCAGAACACTACCATAGGGAGTGCAGCCTCAATATTCAATATATCCAGAGGAACAGCAACAACAGCCACACTCAAGTCTGTCAAGTACCACAGGATGCAAGAGAAAATTGTTTCAGCAAAGAAGAGAAAAGAGCACTTTACATAAGAGTAAAAGTGAAGGTTAGTGGATCCGTTTTGTCAACAGTCTCTACGTCATAGTCAGGACTCAACAAATTCTCCCTTATGTGTGATTTGCTCAGTATGTATCTTCCCATGTGACTCAAACCCATTTGAAATTGCTGATTTATGTAGAAATAGAAATCTTGTTTCCTATGTGAATGAATTTCCAAATAAAAACTGTTTGCATGTAAGAAAGCTGAAGAGCACAGGAGCAGAGACCCACAGACCCTGTCCCCATTTCACCAGCTAAAGCTCATGGGATAGAAGAAAGTCTCTGGGAGGAGTGATGGTGAATCCTACGACCTCAGTCAATCAGCCTGAATTCAAACCACAGCTCTAGACGTTGCCATAAGGATTGTTTGTGCATCTGCTTCTTCTTCTTTGCTGTGGCAGTGTGACAAGAGCATTAACCTGACATGTAGGCCCACATGAGGTAGAGCAGTGGAGTACATTCTATAGAGGTTGGGACATGGTGAGTGCTCAAGCTCACGACACTGAAAAGTAATTCCTCAGCTCATTTTCTGGGTCATGGGTCGTTCACTGACACTGAGTATCTGCATGGTGTCATGGAGCTTGGTCCAGATTACAGAGCTGTATCTAGCTCTAGGTATAGATGTACATCTGGTGATAGTTATGGCTTGCTAAATTATCTTTCTATTGATTTGAAAAATACTGGAGGGTGCAAAGAAATAATATTACAACTGACTCCATGTTTCAGAGAGTTCACGGATCACAGTGCTGACTTTCTCCATTGCTGTGGTCTCAGGGGAGGCAGAACCTCCTCATGAAGACAGAGTATAATGGGGCAATATTGCTCATGTCCACCTTACCTTCTAACACCCAATCATCTCTCAGTAGTTCCATCAGCTGGGAACAAAGGCTTTAATACACAAATTTTTGGGTATATTTCATACTCCAAGTATGACATTTGTACTAGACAACTTCACAATACTGAAGTAAACTCCCAAGATAAATAGCCAATAAAAGCCAAAAAGGAAAACAGATGATCATGGTAGGTAGACAGGAATAATGCAAACAAGGCTGAAATGTGAATATAAAGACAGAGCAAGGACACACAATGTCTGTCAGTGAAAAATATTCTCCTTTAATGCTGTCATGTGTATTGGTGTTGTCTTTGTTCCTGTAACAGTATATGGACTGAGCAAATTGTTTTTATATATTTAGAAATGTGTGTGTGGGTGTGTTTGAAAGAGAGACAAAAACAGAGATACAGAGGAGATATGCATATGAAGGGAGTGAGGGAGAAAGAGAAAGTGAGAAGAGTTAAAGAAACAGAGTCGATGAATATGAGAATCGGACTAGGGAAAAAAGATGTAATTTTATATTAATTTGAGAAAATGAAAAACAAAAGTTTCAGAAAGTGCTATAATCACCAGAAGGTCTTATCAATCATTGCTAGTATCAGCTGCAGCGAGAGTACAGTGAGGACAGGTTAAAAGTTTGACTTCTATTATCAGATGACACAATAGCTCCCCTAACAAAAGTGGGGAGCCTGAGGGCTGATAAGCCCTGACCTGAAGTCATCAAGTTTTTCTAACGAACAAAGAAAGAACTGAGGACAAACAACCTTTGAGAATCATGGCAGGGACCACTCAGAGTGTCAATAATTCTTATTGATGAAGGGAAACAAAGCTCCCTGGAGAATATCAACAAGATCAGGGATGTGTGAGTAATTGGTCTAGATGAATTGCTTACACTCTACATAGCAAAGCCATAGCCCAGTACCTCATAATGTGACTATATTTGAAACAGGGTCTTTGAAGGAGTAAAAGTCAATTAAGGTGGATCTTAACCCAATGGGACTGCTTTCGTTCCAAGAAACAAAAGATCAACAGAGACAGTCTGAAGTGAGATCCTGTGTGGAGAGAAGGAGAAGGTAGGATTCACAATAGGAGAGGCATCACGGAAGAAAGTATCTTAGTGGGCATCTTGACCCTGGGTTTCCAGCCTCCAGAACGGTGCCAAAATGAATGACTATTGATTGTATTGATTACCAGTCTGTGTACAGTGCCGTGGCAACCCTACCAATAAAACACAGGCACTAGTAAGACAGCAGCACTCAGTGAGAAGTTTGTGGTCAGATGAAGGAACTGGAGGACAGAATGAGGAAACTTAGTGGGAAGGATGGTGGCTGCGCACTGCCAGAGACACTTCCCTCTAGCCATGTCACTGCCCTCAACTCAGAAAGGGAGCAGAGGGCTGGAGAGATGGCTCAGAGGTTGGGAGCATTGCCTGCTCTTCCAAGGGTCCTGGGTTCATTTCCCAGCGACCACATGGTGGCTCACAACCATCTGTGACGAGGTCTGGTGCCCTCTTCTGGCCTGCAGGCATATACACAGACAGAGTATTGTATACATAATGAATGAATAAATGTTAAAAAAAAAAGGGGGGGGGCAGAGAGTGCCAAGTGTGGAGACAGGTCTTCCACTGCTTTGGAACTGACATGCTGTCTCTGATGGGACTCAGAGTTCCATGAATTTAAGTGGGGTTCTACTGAAGTAAATTTGTTAGCTGTAATACTATAAAAATTAAATTGTGTTTTAATGATTTCCAGATAGAATGTTTCTGGTCACCTATGGGAACCCATGGATTCACATAGCAATACTCCAGACACTGCCTCTAGAAAATGAACAATGTTCTGAGATTCTCTCCTGTGGCAGTTCTATTCACAGTGAAGAGGACACTAGCCCACTGGAGCATGTGGCTCTAACAGATATTGACCTTCTCCCCAATTCGTTCTGCCTTGCTAAAAACCATCAGATTACATTCCTGAAGCTAGTACCCTAAGGTCTATTCTCTTACTTGGACAATCCCTTTTCCAAAGGCTGACTGCAATGTTCTGTTATCAATGTATTAAAATCCAGCAATCAAAAGCCTTCTTGGGCTCACCTAATTAACATGCCCAATTAACCACCTCTTTCTAACATGGGGTTTCCTATTTTTCCTTTATAAAATGACATTTTCCTATGTGCCACGTCTGTCTCCTCTCTATCCAGAGGCAGTACTTTGTTTCTCCAGGACAAATATCCCAGCTCCATTTCCCTGGTTCCCTTCCCCTCTTTCTCTGCTTCCTGTCATTGTCTCTCTGGGGTAAATAAATCTTTGTCCTGAGAACTGGGTCTGAGAACTTGACCTTGGGAGTCCTGAGTCAATACTTTCCCCTTCACACAGAAGGTGTGGTTGTACTCCTGAGCATGCTCACCTGGGAGTCCCAGCAGTAGGGTCAGCAGCAGGACACCGTGAGGAGTGTGAGGCCAGGAGTCCAGGTCAAGCATGTTGAGAGCGAAGGACTTGCTCAGTGCAGTGTCTGTGCTGGTGAGACTCCGGGTGCTAATCTGCAGATACTAGGTTCTAAGCTGGTATATCTTATTTTGCATAAGGGGTGTGACTGTATTGTGCTGAAACAGGAACTATACTCTCTATTTTGAAATAGACACAGTTTTGCAAGCTGACAGAATAAGGAGTTATTTATCATGCATTGTAGAGGGACTGAGATATGCCTAGGAAAAGTAATCTTTTCCTATAGAAATTATAGAATAATAAATACAAGTCACAGAGTTAGCATAGCACACCTTCTCATAGTTACTTTCTATGTATAGGTGTGTGATAGAGAGGACAAAATCTATTCTCTTAGCATATCTCTAATGCGGTATAGTATTGTGTGAGTGGGAATCCCTGTGAAAAGTCTGTGTCTACAGAGGTTGTTAAATAAAACTCAATGACCCTGGAGGGTTTGGAAGGTTGCAGGTCCAGAGTCCTATTATCTCATGCTGTCCTTAGTTCCTAAAGATGTATTCTTCACCCACTTTGTGGTGTGGGAGCTAATATCCTAATGAACAGATCAAAAACACAAACTTTGGAGTGTATTAACAAAACCAACCAAAGGTCCAATGAATGCTATCAGATAGCATCTGAGACTTGTAGCTGAGATCCCTCGCTGCCCATACCCATCTCTCTGGTGAGCCTATCCTTGAATGACTAAGCCATCTCTCCAGCCCCATCAATACATTTTTTTCAATGCCTTGTTTTGTGACTTTCAATGTTCTGTAACTATAGATACCTCACAAAACAGACTCCACATTGGAACACAGAATTTGGGATAACCTAAATTTGTGTTTCTGTCCATGATGACTCAGATTTGCCTCCTGAATAAACTGACTCTCATTAGTGAGAGCTGTAGCTGTGATCTTACACGGACAGTTTTTAGCTACAGTCGTCATCCTGTGCTTTAGAGTTCTAGGCTTTCCACTTAGTTGCACCTTTATGCCCTTTGACCAACACTACCCCTGGCAATTATGTATTTGAGTTCTTTAGATTTTACATATGAGGTCACATAAAATATATTTTTCTAGCTTATTGCACTTCAGACAATGTCCTCCAGGTTCATCCATAACAAAAAATAAATAAAAGCAAGCAAGCAAGCAAAGCAGCATTTGGATGTATAGTCAGACTGGTCTCAAACTTGTGAGTCTCCTGCTTCAGCCTTCTAAGTTATGTGATCACAAGACCTGCTTTCTCATTTTTGTTTCATGAGTGAATGAAATTCTCATAGATGACAGTTTCTTACTCTCTTGACACTTATGTTGCTTCCATGGCTTGACTCTTGGATGAACATGGAGTACAGACACTGTTAAGGTCTTCACTTTACTTTCTTTGACTATATACACACCTAGTGGGATTGCTTGATCATCTGATTCTAAAGATTTGCTTACATATTTTAAAATTACATGT